AGCTACTCGTACCAGGCCGGCGCCAACAACATGTCGGGGGGAGCGACACCTATCGGTCTGGCTGCACCCTCCCTGTCAGGTGAGCTTGGTAGAAAGTCCAGATGCTTGTCTTTATACAGGAAATTGCATTTTATCTGATGTTGTCCATATTGTATTCACGTTATTTAATATTTCCCATGATATTATTGATATTGTATTTTATAAAAATTGTCCAATACTAACGTCTAGTATTACTGACGTAACTAAATAGAACAATACAGAAAACAAAATCAAAGGACAACTGCTCCATGTGCTTCTACTTAAATTAATTTTTCATCTTGTGTTACCATTAATTGCCTTTAAAAAACACTTCATTTACACTCATGCCCCCCCCCCCCCCCCCCCCCCCCCCCCCATAGAAATTACATCCGCATCTGAATTAGTAACATTATTCGGCAGTTTGACTTAAGCTACTCTGCTGCCCCCGAGTGGATTCAAATGTTTCAAACGTCCAAACATATTCATCTTACTGTAAAGCTGCATAATGCCGAATTATATGACTGTGTAATTACATTGTCATAAAACAGTTATTTCACATGAATTCAAATCTAAGATCTACAAAGCAGAAATGCTACATGAATTTGGTTGAAGGATCTAGTTCATTTTCTGTCAAAGTGAGAATTCTCATCAGAGGCCTCCCATTGGAGGGATTCCACACTGCAATCTGTGACATCGTTTATGTGCTCTCCAGCCACTCGATCCCAAAATGCCGATGCGTACAAGGACTATATGTTTGTTAATTCAGACAAGGACAATGCCAGGGACACAGAAACACTGATTTTGGCAAAAGACAGCGGCAAGCAGTTCACTCTGACTACAGGAGGAGGTGAGGCACACCTTTGCACAGTCAAATGTTGGTGGAACAAACTGTCGGCAAGCGACGGGCTGTGATGTTTCAGGTTCCCTCTCGGGCGACTCTATCCAGAAGGAGAAGCTCATCACAACCTACGGTGAAGGAGCTCAGCTCAAGGCAGGGACAGGAAATGCTTACTGTGAGTCTAAACCCACAACAGTATTTCTGAATTCGTTCCTAAAGCTAAAAATGTGTGAATCCACCAGACGGATCATCTGGAGTTTTAATGAAAGACAAAGGCACGCACGCACGTATGTCATTTGGTTCTCTTTTCTGCCTATGCAGTCGTATCTTGACTTAAGAGGTTTTCGAGCTTTATTTCAATTAACCGTGGGCATCGTCCGCAGAGCTTCGCAAGAAGGGCGGCGTCTGCGGAGGCGGCTGGTGTTGCTGCTTTGACGCCTGTTGCTCGTGGTGGAAGTGGCTCCTGGGGTTCCTCCTCCTTTTCCTGCTTCTGCTCGGACTCCTTTTCGGCCTTATTGCGCTAGGTGAGTGCCATTACCATTATAATAAACTAGTTATTACACACTGTAATAATAATAGTCCATAATAGTACAGTGCAACCTAATTATAATGTATTAAAAATGCACATAGGGACACATTACCAATTAATTTCTTATTAATTGGCAGAAAGCAATTATTAGTATCCAATAACATTGACATAAACTAGTTATTATACTTCGATTAACTAGCACCTGAATTTCATCTAGGCTCAACTTTCTTCATGACAGAAAGAAATTGTTATATAATCTTTTTGAAAGTATCTATGGCGACCAATGGCAAATTGTTTTCTTGCTGAATTGCTGAATGGAATTGCTATTGCCTGTTGACATTGTAGTAAACACGTTATAACAGTACAGTGATAATTCTGTTGGTTCATCCTGTTAAATATGCACTGCACCAATTTTTTTGGAAATGAATATATATGCATATACATGTTCAACATGATGATCAACTTGTATTTACAATTACCAGTATATTAATTAAACCTGTTGCTACATCTAAATAAATTATCTAAACAGCAAACTATTTTTTGCGAATTGACAGAATTGTATTGTCATTGTTCTGTAACAATAAGAACAACAACAACAAAAACAACAACAATCAAAGCTAAACCATGAATGTCATATCATCAGATGATCACAGAACATTCTGATTGAGTTTTTGTAGCCTCTTAGGGACATGTTTTCATTGGGAATGCCTAAAGAGAAAAATGTTACATTGTTTTTTTAAAAATGTTACTCAACAGAATTAAACGTATGACCCCATTGTCATTTCTAGCCGAGGATGTGAGAAAGCTGAAGAACCGGGTGGCCACTTTGGAGAGCGAGTCAGCCATCATTTCTGCTCGCACCAGTCGTCTGGTGGGGCTCGGTGGCAACACCTTCGTGGACGGTGGTGGCAGCTCATCCAAAACGGATATATTCGTGTTCGGACCAGGCGGAGGGGCAGGAGGCTCAGACTCTAGTTCTGGAACGCAAATCGGAGTTGCTGTGGATGCTGGGGGTGGAGGTGTCAGTGCCGGAGCCGGAGCGGGAGCTGGAGGTGCTGGTGACACCAGTGGTACCAGCATGGGTGGTGCTGGAGCTACTAGTACCGGTGTGGGTGGCGCTGCGGGTAGTGGAACCAGTGTGGGTACCGCTGGGGCTAGTGGAACCAGTGGGGGTAGCATTGGAGCCGGAGCTAGTGGAGCCAGCGTAGGCGGGGGCGGAGCCACTGGGACTGGCTCAAGTGGTGGCGCAGGCACAAGCTTAGGTGGCGGCGGTTCCAGAGGTACTACCATCATTACTGGCAGTACTCACACCAGTGGCGGAACTGGTGCTGGTGCCAGTGGAGCAGGGTCTAGTGGCGGCGCAGGCACCAGTGGCGGCGCAGGCACCAGTGGCACCAACACTAACACTTTCTCCAGCACCAGCGTGAGTCACAGGGACGGTCAAACGTTCGCCAATGGCTTCTGGACCAGCGGCACCGGCGGTTATGTGGACGCCGCCGCCCTTCACATGGCCATCCAGCGCATGGTGAGAGGGGAAATGCAGTCGCAGGCATTCCAAGGTAACTTATGACCGAAGCTAATATCATTAACGAAAGCTAGCGAAATAACCTAAAAGTAACATTGAAAAAAAAAAGGTAAATGAAATAAAATGAAAATGAAAATGCTTTTACAAAATAAAACTAACTTAAAATACTCACTCAAATTACAGCAAAAATGTCATTTGTTTTCGTGTTTGTCAATTAATATCAAACTTTGACGTTCATTTTAAATATGTTTATTTCTGTAATTCGGTCAGCAAAATGACAGTCAAACACTTGGATGAAAATTTGTAACTCATATTTTTTTTATTTATTTTTTAATCTTGGACTCAACAACTACTCCATGTATTTAAAAAACTAATACGAAAACTAATAAAAACTAAACTAAAACAAACCATTGACAAAAAAAAAAAAAAAACCAAATTTTTAACACCCCAGTAACTGAATTTACAAAAAACAACAATCGAAATAAAATATGACCAGACTGTCATGAAAAATCTAAAACTATTTCAACCCTGTTCATGTCATGATTTTGGATGCCCACGTCTGCATTCATCGCACGTAATATTCTCTGAAACATATTTTCCAGCTTTCATCACGGCTACAATGCAAGGTGAAAGAGGACTGCCTGGACCTAAAGGTAACGTTCATTTTATTAATTAACTTTGGGCCAAACCGACTTGCATCTCCGAACAACACTTAACTCGGCCATGCCCCTTAAAGGCACATGTCCACGCATAAACGCTACAGTGTGTTGTTTGCCAATGTTCGGCTTAGTTACATTAGTAAAATGATGTGTTGTTATGTCCCCGCCCCTTAAACATTTTTTAATTACCTATCAGTGCCACTAGATAGCGCCAATGCACTACCTTTCTATTAGTCAGAGCTCTGCCCTGTCCAATACTGTAGGAGCCTCTCCTCACTCAACATAGTTCCTTGGCACCGAGCTGCCAAAAAATGGCACCAGAGCACTACTTTTCCATCAGTGAATCCTAGAACAGATTATCTGTGACTTCCTCTGTATTTTTGTAATAGTATCTATTTCTGTTCTTGTTGCTATCTTATCAGCAAAATCCCATTAACACAAACCAATTGTGTGTTTTTCCTCATTGTAGGCGACACTGGTCAACCCGGATTCCCAGGTAAGGAGCGACGGGAATCGGGGACTTGAATGGCATCACAGCGTTTGGAGATTAATGCTGCATTCCAGAAAACTGGGAAATTATGAATTTCCAACCTCTGATGAAGAAAGGTGTCAGTTCTGTAAAATGTGTTTGGTCTTCCACAAGATCAAGCCTATCAAAAATGTTTGAAGTCATGATTGGGATTTCGACAAACTTCACAGCTTTCTTGAATGCAGCATTGAGGCATCAATTTGTTTTTTGCACCCCCTTACAGTTTTTTTCCACACATTGTCTGTTGGTTAATATCAAACCTTTTTGACCTCAGGTGCTCCCGGTCCAATTGGTCACGAGGGTCCTCAGGGTCCAAAGGGCCAAAAAGGAAGCCATGGTATGGCTAGGGCGCCAATCCAAGTACACTGTTTGGACTGTTTTAAAATGGGTTTCAAAGTGTTAACATGTGTCTGCAGGTGAACAGGGATTGGAGGGTCCTCCTGGATTGAGAGGGCGAGAAGGAGTTGCTGGACCCAGAGGTGAACCAGGATTTGGCTCTAAAGGAGACAAAGGTACATAAAACAAAACCATTTGGACCTGTCCTATTGGGTCGCCGAGTCAAGAAGAATGTTGGAGATGTGTCCTTTTGTTGTTTGTATTGAGATGGATATTTATGAGAAAAGAACAAAAACATTAACAGCATCCCAACCGTTTATGCCGATAATAATCTGACGTAGACGCTGCGAGTAGGCAACAGAACAGGATGAGACAAGCCGGCACTAGTGCTCCCTGGATTGTATCTACATGTGGAGTGGGAAAGCATTGCTACAACCTGTGAGGAAGGGACACGACGACAAGGAGGAAACAGAACATGACAGCACAGGACAGGAGAGGACAAGAAAGAAGTAGTGAGCCCAGAGTTACATTGTGTTGATTGATATGTGGACTGAAAAGGCAGTGAGGCACCATGTGAGGATGCAGCGTGACAGTCATCTAATACGACAGGTTGATACAGGACAGCACAGGGGGAGTGAGCCTGGTTTTAGGTTGTATCTAAATGTGGCCTTGGAAAGGCAAGCCTATAACCTTTGAGGAAGTGACACGACCAGCACCAAATAGGATAGGACTAGATAGGACAGGATAGGACAGAAGGAGTGAGCCAAGAGTTGACATTGTACTGATTATGTGCAGTCAAAAGGCAGTGAGACACCATGTGAGGATACAGTATGACAAATAGTGAATAAGACAGGCTGGGACAGGACAGGACAGGAAAGGAGTAGTAAGCCTGCAGGTGGATTGTACCGATATGTGGATGTGGGAAGGCAATGTTAAACTCTTTGAGGAAGAGGCGCAATGACTTGCAAACAGGACAGGACTGAACAGGACAAGAGAGGACAGAAATAGTGAGACAATACGTGGCTTGGAAAGACATTGAAATAACATCGGATGAGGCGTGACAAGAAGCGACAGGGGTAGCACATACGGACTGGGATTGTATCGGTATGTGGACTGGGAAGGCAGTCCTACAATCTGTGAGGAAGAAAAGCATATAGATTGGACAGGACAGTGATAGTGAGCCAAGCAGTGTTACCGGTGAGAATGGGAAAAAAATCACCAGGAAACCTTGTCAATCTTCAGTATTTCATTGTTTTTGTTCCGGAAGGTAATTCCGGGGAACCCGGACTCCCTGGTCAAAAAGGTGAGACCACCCCTACCAATTTTTAACTGGAATCGAGTGACTCAGTACAGGATCTAGTTTAACTCTGCACTGATGATTCATTCTAGGCGCTTCCGGGCTCCTCGGAGCACCAGGTGAGCATCTTCCTGCTCTCTTTTGTTCAATCAAGATTCTTTATCTTCTTTCCAATTGGACTTAACCCCAATTGAGGTGTCACCTGAGTGAATCTTTCTTTTCCACCTCTCCCTGTCGTTTGCATCTTCTGCTCTAACTCCACGTATCTGCAAGTCTTCACTCACCATAACCGTCAATCTCTTCTTTGGTCTTCCTCTTTACTCTGGCAACATTTCTGGGATCTTTCTACCGTAGCTTTGTCTCCAAACCTTAACTTGTGATCCTGTTCTCTTCCAAAGAGAGCCACTTCCACTTCTAGCTCCTTTCTTCAGGTCTTTGGTACCCTCTACAAACCATTTAACAGTGCTGGTCTCACTACCGTCCTTGAAACCTCTCCTTTGACTTTAGGGGGTGCTGTCCTTTCACAGATCAGCACTGATACTTTCCACAACCCACTTCATCTTACCTCTCTTCTGCTCTTCACCTCTCTTGCGACTCCTGCTTTGAAAAGTTGACCCCAAGTACTAGAGCTTCTGCACCTTCCTTCTTCCACTGCAGTCAAAAGAGATTTGTCACTGTCGTGTTGACTCACTTCCTCCCTATGCCGACGAATAGCAGGGGTTGACTAGCTCCAGAAATAGTCGATGATAGTCCAGACAACGCATTTTTTTTTTTTTAGATTGTTTGTTCTTCAACATGATATCTTTGTTCTCTTAGGTCCTCAGGGTTTCCGGGGAGAAGCAGGACCACCTGGGCTTAAAGGTAGCATCTGTAGAATTGAACAAAAAAAAAAACTTCAGTAATAATGCGATGCATTAAAGCAAAATAAACTAAAGTGACTTATCTCCGTGGTCAGGTGATCGTGGTTTACCTGGTCTGCCCGGAGCAGCTGGAGAGAAAGGATCCAAGGGATCGACAGGTGAGCGACGGGACTGCCGGTTAACCACATCGAAAATACGATTGATTCATCGTGAGCCTTTGTGTCTTGTCGCCCATCATCAGGACAAGATGGTTCAAAAGGCTCAAGAGGTAAAGCTGAGCGATTCTCATGCTCATAATTCGGGTTCGAGGTTGGGTTTATGTTTTAGCATTCACATGCCATTCACAAGACAGTCAGTGTTTTTTTTTTTTTTTTAATATGTGCCCACAGGTGACCTTGGCAGTCCTGGTCACCCTGGACTTCGAGGTCCAGCTGGGCCGCCAGGAGATGCTGGACCTCCAGGTGCTTAGTTTCTCTTTTTTTCTTTGAAATCTTTACAAACATGTTAGTCCATCCAAAAAAAAAAAAAAAAAGGCTGTGAATTGAAACCGCGTTTTTCTCTTTATTGTAGGACAACCAGGCAATCCAGGTCAAGCAGGTCCTAAAGGTGCGGCGGAACTAGCACAAACACAACAGGCTTTCCACATCACTGCAATAATTATTGTGTCTGTTTTCAGGTGATACTGGTGAATCAGGAAGAATTATTAACGCAGGTAACGAACTTAAAAGCATACATCATGTGGTGAACCATGTCGAAACCATATACAGCGTTACCTTGACTTCCAAGTGCCCCGACCTACAATTTTTATTTTTCGTTACAAGTCATCACTTGTTCAATGATTTTGCTTTGTGTTGTGAACCAAAATTTTGAATTCTGAGTGAGTGAACAAAAAAAATAAATAAATACAGCGACAGTCAAATACACAAATACAAAATAAAAACACTTGCAAGGAGCCTGGAGAAGATGCTCACCTTGAACTTCTTAATGGTACAGTTATGTGATGCTTATTATTATGTTTGATTATTTTTTTTGCTGCGGAGGGTGGGGGCGCTAGAGTGGATTAAAATTAATCAAAATCGTAAGTCAAGGTACCATTGCAATTGCTGTGATCATTGCGAGGGTTCTTATCTGTCACTCATTTTCCAGCCGGTGTTGCCACTGTACACATCCCTGGACCACCTGGGCCTCGCGGACCTCAGGGAGTGTCAGGTCTGACAACTTCTTTGAACCTTGTAATAACATGATGATAGCATGATAATAACACCCATATTTATAAAGTTGTATCTTTTTATGTGGTGACATACCTACCGCCTTAGGTCCAGCTGGCCCTGCAGGTAAATAATTTCCCTATATTCACAAGTGTTTTTAGATATATGTCACTGACATGGCGCATGTTTTTGGTCCTGGTAGGTCCTAAAGGTGACCGAGGAGAATCCGGATCAACAGTGAGGACGTCTGAGAGTTTCAGCTCAAGTGTAGCTGAGAGTGAGTATCGTCCTGTTTGGATTGACAACAGAAAAAAAAAATTCAACTGTTATCCTGAATGTAATTCTATCTACTGCTTATTAACTCGAGGAATGCAGTAAGTGAGAGTTAATGAAGCAGGATGCATGAGAGACAGACAGGAAATGAAGGTTGAGGAGAAGGGCTGTTTGTTTAATGTGGGCTCTGGCCAAGAGACATATGGCGGATAGAAAATATGTATTTGACTACCCCCGCCCCCCTAAAAAAAAATAAGTGAATATATGTTCCAATATGTAATTTCATAAAGAATTCAAAGCATAGTTTTGCAACAACAAATTCCTCTTTGAATCTTGAACTTTGATCTTTTATTGATGATTTAGGGCAGTTTGCTTCCGGTGGTGTGGCATCTCGACCCGGCCCACCGGGTCCACCTGGGCCACCTGGACCGCCAGGGCAGCCAGGTACGTATAACCTGATGGTTCTGATGAAGTCCATAGACTTCACTGTGTAATCATCTGCATGTCTCCAGGTTATGGAAGACCAGGACCTAAAGGCGACAAAGGAGATTCTGGTGTTACAACCAGTTCTGGTATGTACATATGAGATTGAACACATTTAAAGACTCCATACAAAAAATGCTATAATTTCAACACTCAGGAACTTATTACACTGGACCACCAGGACCACCTGGGCCTGCTGGACAGAAAGGATCCACAGGTTTGACCAACGCTAAGTGATCTTTCATCTTGGATTGATTATATTTCACTAACTTTTCTGTCCATCTTTAGGTTCTCCTGGACCGAGAGGCTACCAAGGTGACTTTGATGATCCCCATCTAATCGTGGGGGATGGGGAGCGCGCACTGCTGCGGATCCCCAAAATCGGCCCAAAATATTTAACACTTGGCGATAGATTCCACAAGATGGGGCAAATCACTACTTTTCTATTGGACAGAGTGGTATGGACTGCCTCATTGAAGCTCCTCCCCTTCCTTCAACATAGTTCCTTCCACTGAGTTGCCACAAGATGGTGCCAAAGCAATATCTGACAGAGCTTTGGCCTAATGGAGGATCGGTTAAAAAAAAAAGAAAAATGCAAATCATTCCGAAGTAGAAATTTGCCAATATTTAGGAATGTTTATGCCTAATTAATTAACTGTGCTGCTCCAGGTGAACCAGGACAACCCGGCTTGCCAGGAAGACCTGGAAGCTTGGAGAGAGGTCAGCTCAGGAACATTACAAAACAAAAGAACACACACTGAAAATGGCGTCAGTCTGGTAGACTAGTAAGCTTTTTGCTCTCCCTTACAGTGTCCACCTATACCGGAGAACACACAGTTCAAGGTCCCCCAGGACCACCGGGGCCTCCTGGACTGCCAGGGCCACAGGGAGTCAAAGGTATCCCTCCTAAGGAGATAAAAAATCTGCTTTAAACAATACTGTATGTCCAACGAACATTTGTTGTCTCTGCTTCTAAGGTGACACTGGAGCTCCTGGAATTCCAGGATCTTCTCGAGGTAGATTGAGTCTGACTCAAGTGAAGTGAATATTGAATAATTAAGGTTCTCTAGTAACCTTGCATGAGGTCAATGAAACCGATGTGCTGTATTTTGCATGGCAAGCCAAGTAACAGCACAGTTGGCACCACCAACATCCTCATATTTCTTTCTTCAGGCTCAGTCTCAGTGACCGCAGGCCCTCCTGGTCCTCCAGGACCTCAAGGACCTCCTGGACAGCCCGGCTCCTTCACTTCATCCATCGAGATGCGCCAGTACTTGACAGACTACCTAAGTAAATTTCTCTCTGAAGCTCAAAGGTGGCCTACGAAATCGATTTGTCTGACAACCAAATTTATCACAGGTAGAAGCAGACAGTCTGGTATTCCGGGACCTCCAGGTCCACCCGGACCTCCAGGACAACCCGGAAGCTTCTCTGGTTCCATCGAGGAGATCTCCGCTCGTATGGTTGCCTACTTGCAACGTGAGTCATTGGTAATCTGTTTTGTTTTTAACATTGAGATGCGTGTTTGCCTAATGAGGTTGTCCTTTTTCAGGTTCTGGCTCCAGCTCAGGCATCAGCATTGGTGTTCAGGGTCTACCAGGGCCACCTGGTCCACCTGGACCTGGAGGGGCCCTGACTGTCAGTGGTCTCATTGCCATGCTGCAAAGTCAGTGTAACAAATTGTCCAATTTTTCAATGTATGGTACCAACTTGGACAGCGGAGTCGAGTAGTGGCTGAAACGACTCTCTATAATCTCTAGGAGAAGACGTGAGGAGATACCTTTCAGGCCCGCCGGGTCCACAAGGACCACCTGGACCACCAGGCGGCACAGGAGGAATTTCTAGCGTTTACAGTATAGAGGAGGTAGCGACATATATCTTCAACATCATGAATGGTAAGTCCAAAATGAAAATCATGACACTGGTGCCGCCACATATGTTGAGCTCCTGTCGATCAACAGAGAGAGGAATCGCGAGAGGACCGCCTGGCCCACCAGGACTCCCCGGGCCTCCAGGAGCGGGCAGCTCGGGTGGCGCAGGCTACTCAACAGTTTCAATCGATTACACGGCGCTAGTTAGAAGTAAATAAGATTCCAGAATCCATTTCATCGTCCGTCTCAGTCACATTAGTGACTCCATGTTTTCCCTCCCCGCACAGATCCAGACTTCCGTGCATGGATTGGTTCCGCCATACACCAAGGTCCCCCCGGTCCTCCCGGTACTCCTGGCCAACCTGGACCTCCCGGTCCTCAGGGGCCATCAGGGGTCTCGACTGCCACCGTGGTGGGGGCGGGCGGTCGCGGATACAGCTTGGAGGAGCTTCAGCGTTACCTGCAGGGTGAGTATAGACAGCAACGTAACTCTTACCACATATCGGGGGCACTGACCGTAAGGGGCAGGAAGTGAAACTACGTCTCGCTTCAGCCACCGTCTGGAAACTAACAAACTTATGACAATGAGATTGATATGTGCATCTTGACTAAAGTCTCTCGTGATGTAGAGTTCAAATGCCAACCTTGAATGTTTGACAGGCTCTAGCTTCAGAGGTCTTCCAGGCCCTCCCGGACCTCCAGGCCCACAAGGACCACCCGGTAGTTCCACTGGCACCGTTACTTACACCGGAACTTTCCCTCGGGAGACCATCCGTTCTGAAGTTCACGACTACCTGACCAGTAAGCTTCTACTTTCCAATACGCTGCCCTGTTCATGATTATCACAGCGTCACTAACATCACTACTGTTTTTTTCCATCAGCTGACAGTGTCCGACGCGCCCTTACCGGACCCCCGGGCCCTCCGGGACCGAGAGGCCAAAAGGGAGATCGCGGAGAGACGGGTTACGTCCAAAGACAAAGCAGCCAGAGTCAAAGTTCTTCTCAGAGCGACTCCCGCTATGTCTCGCAGCAGCATGAAATCGACGTTAGCAAGCTGAGCGAAACCATGGACTACAGCAGCGTGGCCATCAAAGTCTCCGACTACATAAAGAGTGAGCGGATGACTTGGCATTTTTAGTAGCAACGTCGTGACTCGGCGGAATGAAACATGTGTGCCTTAATTTGGCATGGTTGAGATATTACTTGGCACTTATCAGTTTAAGATTTTGAACAAATCGGGTGTGGGAGGTAACCAGGGGCTCCCAAAAAAATGAGACTACTTCCAACTAAAAGTCAGCAATAAATAGCACCGCATTCCTATTCTAAAACAGACCAAGGACTGCTGCAGGAGTACCTGGTGGAGGGTCCTTGGAGGACTCACATAAGAGCTGTCCAAGGTCCTCCTGGCCCACCGGGACCCCCCGGAGTACCCGGTTACAGCCGTGTGATTGCAGCCTATGGCAACGTCACGGCTGACCTCATGGACTTCTTCAGAAGTGAGTGCTCGAATCATGGAAAGTTTCAAACTAACCTGAGCTTTTTGACTGATTCTTGTTCTCTTGTTACAGCTCACGGCACCATCCCTGGTCCTCCGGGAATCGCCGGACCAAGAGGAGACAGGGGCTACCCGGGACCCAAGGGAGATAAGGGTATAGTCCAGAAGTAGACTCACAAAAAATGCCTAGAAAAACATGCCAGAAGGTTCAGAACATTTTGGTTTAGGCGGCCATTTTAGGGTTGTTTTGGACATTTCCTGTCAAAGGTCAGCGCCAGTTTCACTTAGTTGCATGGATGTATGGATTGGGTGTTTATTCTGAGTAGACATAAAAGAAAATGTCCAAGTAGCCATGCCTGGAAAGACATGAAAAGTCCACCGTTTTGGTTTAAGTGGGACATTTTAGAGTAATTTCGACCAGCTAGGTCGGCCGAGGGGGCTGGTGGATGATGTCATCTACAAACTTTGATTCATTTATTTTTTTTAACTTGTATTTATTTCCAGGTGATGCCGGACGTCCGGGTTTACCTGGAATTCCAGGGACGTACACGATCCAAATACCACATCGCGTACAGAGGCGGGACACAGGTACTCCAAAATTTCCCATTTCCGGAGCCTTTTTCTTGAAAGGAGACATCAGAATTTTTTTTTAATGGGATGAACATTTATGTTTTGTTGTTACAGGAGGTAACGTAATCAAGCGGGAGCAGCAGGAAGGTCCAGCAGAGGGCGGCTGAAGCGTGGCTACTACTTTTTTTGTCTCTGTTCTCAACAGAAGCAATGCAAGTAGAAATAAAAAAACAAAACAAACAAAAAAAAAAAACGCTTTAGCGATTGGCTCTCTAGCTTTGCTGCTGGCCGGTGTTTAGGTTTTGGACACATTTTTCCATTGTTCAAATGTGGATGATAATATTTGCTTTTAGATGAAAATATTTTAGAATTAAGATTTGAGTGACTAAAGTTTTAATGTTTTTGTTTTGGAGTATTCTACTGTATTGAGGTCAACGCGTTAATTGCTGTTTTATGAAAATTTCCATGATATTGTTTTTGGCCATTTGCTTCCAGGATGCGTGCAAATTATTGATATTTTCCGAATGTAACCTATTAATAATGTTACAATTGTAGCATTAGCATTCACCCAGCCAAGTTACATCATCGCTTGCTGTATTCAGCACTGATTTTTACTGTACTTGAAGAAAGATTTTGAAGATTACTATGCAAACAAAGCAATATTCCGCTTTCGGTCTGCAAATGAAGCTGAAGGAAAAACTGATTAGATTGTATATTTTTGTATAAGAGAACACTGACTGATTTATTGACTTTCTACCGTCACATTTTTTTGGAAACCATTAAATTATAAATTGCTGACAGACTTGTTATTTAAAAACACACACACAAAAAACAAACATGAATACTTTTTATTTACAACAAATATGTCCATTGACATTTCCAATACATTTGATCTGACAATAGAACTGCATATATACTTTTTTTTTTTTTTTTTTTGAGGTGGAGACAATTAAAATGCAGCGCGTTAAAATTTGTAAAAAATATATCAATATCTATGTTTGGTGTAAAACAACCGAAATAAAAATCCAGCATTTGTTACTAGCATGAGAACTCGAGCAGTGCGGAAATGACATGGTATAAATTAATCAAGTTTAGGCCATTTTGACAACAGCGGATGATCGTTATTACAGCAATTTCATTCAGCAAAATAAAAAAAAAAAAATAAAAAATCAATTGCAGCTTCCTTTTTCCATAACTCAGTTCATGTGAAGTCCGAAAAATAAGCTGAACAAATGATTGTTAGAAGCGGTATGGATTTAATGTGTTTTCAGGACTTTTTTAAAGTGGGTAATTAGAGCATCAGTGTAGCAGAAACGCAGTGGTCATAAAATAATAAAAGCATGTAATAAAATTCCAATGATTCGTACTGGATATTCTTTCATGTGGCAAAAAAAAAAAAACTGTGCAAAATTGACAGCAAGTTTACATTCCTTTGATATGCATTTGACAGCGTTCACTCTATAGCAGGGCTCCAGGAAGTAGTCAACACCCACGTGTTGAAATGAATGTAGGAGTCGTCGTCACAGGAGGCAACCACTTAATGAAAGCATTTGTTCAGTGATAGTGAGCAAGACAGTGGTGGGAGGAGGCGAGGGGCTATCATAAACATTTTTAAAAAAGCAACTGAAAAAGAAATTAGGAGGCACTCATTTGCAACATTTATGATCTTTTCAAACTAAAACATGCTAAAGAAAGAAACAAAAAGAAAAACCTCTAAACAGTTTGCTCCCAATTAATTTAGCGCAATATCATAGCCGTTTTCAGCAGGCGGCTACGATCCAGAGCTGGGCACGTGCGGGATGGGGTAAAATTTGGACACACGGCTCTGAGCGGTGGGGTTAAGGCATTCCGACTCGCCGCTCATCTTGAAGAAGACCTCCTGCTCCTGCAGCTTCCGCGTGAACTCTTCTTCCAATGCCTGCAGGGGGCAGCACAGGAGAGTCAGGCATCGGAAAAGAAGAAGAACGGACAACAGGCAAGTCCTAATTCACAATTGTGTCGTGCTTCACTGCTTAAAATTAGGTTGAAAATTCTTGTCCAAGTCATTAGACTATCATTAGATGAAAAAAAAAATACTGTTTGGTTTCAATATAAACTGTTCTTTTTCTTTTGTGTCAGGTTTACAGTCAAGTTTAACTGGGGAGTTAAATACACAGCTTGAATACATTACATAAAATGATAAAGTTGGTTGAACATTTTGCTGTTTCAATATATTGCTGTTTAATTCTCTATTGTCGGACGATAAATACGCTCCGTTTGTGTTGCTGTTGTTGAAGTAATGGGTGTTAAAAATACTGCAACATCCATGCTACTTCTTGTTAGATATTAGCATCATGCTATCATGATTTTGTTCATTGATAAATATTACGGTTTGGCTGAATGTTTCGGTGTTGGAATATACATTGTCTAATTCTTTTACGTGTCAGTTTTCCAGTAAACTTCCACAATGAGTGACAAAAACAGCTCGAAGCGACCATACTCATTTGGAGTACTGTGCTTGTAGTAAGTACATTTTTTTCTTTCCTCAAAATGATTTGGCACGATTGTCTCCCATTTTTTGGCAACTCGAGAGTGACTAAGAAACGTGCTAAGGATTATTTAAAAAAAAAAGTTTTAATGAAACTGTAGAACTGTTTTTCTAAGGTCTCTCTGTTTTCCCAATTGTAAAATGAGACCTTCTTCCTGGGTCTGAGGTTCTCTCGCCACTCCTTGATCTCCTGACTGTGCTCGTCATCCAGCTCCTTCAGCTTTTGCGTCTCGTGCTCAATCAGGAGGTGGCATTTCTCATTCTGAAAACAAAACGGAAGCCACACGAAGCTCAGTGGAGAATACGTCCTACTTGAACGGCGGACTGAGCAGGGAGATCAGCTACGTGAGCCACGACACTCCCAGCACGAAAACATGCGTGTCACCTCACCTGGAGCTGCTGCAGCTCTCTGATATTGGAGTCGCACTGCAGCTGAAGGTCTCTCATCTGGTTCTCATGTTTCTGGTGCTGGTGGAGACGCTCGTTCTTCTGCCGCTTCTCTTCCTGAAAAGCAAACTGGACCGCACACGAGAGGAATGACTTCTCTGGTTAGCAGTGGCTATGCTGGGAATCGCTCCCCAAGTCAGTAGATAGTTGCCGACATATGTTCCCTATTTTATAGCGCGGTTCGAATGTGTATTGAGTTTAGGGAGCCCACAACGCATCTTGGAAATAGTAAACAAGGCTAGCCTACTTTCACCCAACTAAAAGATTTCTGACTTGGTCATTTTGTAAAATTCAGCAATTTTCACATGTATTACAGTTGATGGCCACCAGGGGGCAGTAGAATACATGTATACGTATCATAATGGACGTAGCCTGTATGATGAAACACGAAGAAGACCGCTGCAACTAAACTGCAGTAATATTAGTGGTATTTTGTAGAGCATCGGTGTAGTATCTAGCCCAATTTTAATTCAGTCTCAAAATTTGGTAGATCTTCAAATTTTATAATCCATCCAGTGTGTTCTTATACTTCGGGGCGGAGGGGTCCTACCTGCTTAATGCGGTCTCGCTCCTGCTCGGGCGTGATGACGGCCGAGGGGGCGATGCGGAGGCTCTTCTTGAACATGGCCATGCGCGTCTTGCCGTCGCTGCGCTGGATCTTGGGCAGGCGGACCCTCTCTTGGTTCTGCTTGTTCTTCATCTCCTCCACCAGCCGCTGGTTGTAGCGCTGCATTTGCTCCATCTCCTGCAGCAAGGGGAAAAAATGCAGCTTTTGTCATTGTAGAACTCAGGTATTTAATTTTCTGCAATATTTGCAAGCATATGGAGCAAACAGCAACGAACAAAGTCTAAGTGTACAGTGAATCCAATGTCCACAACCTTTTCAGGTGTGTTTTAATGCTTCTTAAATGGGTAAAAAAAAAAAAAAAACCCCGAAGTTGTCTTGCTGTTTTTGTCATTTTTATGCTATTTGAAAAACTCATGAGTTGTGTTTGAACCGGCCCAAATACATATAACATGCAACTATTTTGTATTGTTGTATTTTGTATAAAGTGCAACGATGAACTTATTAATTGGCAACGATCGATGATCAAATTATTTGGTCGTTATTTTGATAATCGATTAATTGTTTAGCGACCTTAATTTGAAAATTCCAAACCCTTCGAATTTCAGCCTCTCGACAGTAAATCTGCGATTTCTGCAGTCCTCCACGGAAGCAGGCTTGTTACTTCATTTTTTTTCTTCAAAATTAGACATTTGCAATCCTCTGCTGTTACTTTGGAAAAACAACGTTTTGGTCGATTTGATGACACATTACGGACCAAAGAGGAACCTCAATCACAATGACTTTAAAATTGTGCATTTTCTACCCTGTCAATTAGGATTGTTGTTTTTCAACAAAAGTTGAAATGAAACCACTGACAAAAAACGATTCATCATCGATTAATCAAACAATTGTGCTTACTTTCTCGTGCCTCTTGAGCAGCTGGTGCCTTTGGAGGAAATACTGGTCCTTGAGCTGCTGCTTGAGCTGCTGGTGCTTCTCCTGCAGGTGGCGCTCCTCCAGCTCCCACATGGCCGCCTCCCTTGCTGTGGACCACACACGCTTCATTTTAGTGGCCCATTTTGGCACAAGAAGCAGCGTCAAAGTACACGTATGGGCTTCCGAATTTAAGAAGAGACAGAGAGCTGAAAAAAGAAAAAAATCCTCTCAAGTGGAGTGACGTCACACAACACCTCTCATCAGCTGCTGCTTGTGGTTGAGGCAATCCCTCTCGATGGTGGCGATCTCCACTTTATGTTGTTGGATGATTTTCTTCAGCTCCCCGTCCAGCTCCTGCTGCTGCTTCTGGAGGAACTCCTGCTCCTGAGCGGATCACCAAACGTATGCCAAAGCGAGAGAGGGGGAAAAAAAAAAAAAACATTAAAAAGTAGCGCCTAACGACGCCATAATGAGAGACAGGTGAGCGTTGAAAAGAGAAAAAGGCACGTCTTGCTGTCGGGTGAATGATGTCGTCGGATTATATCCACAGAAATCATCGAGTGGGAGGGGGCGGAGGAGACACACTCAAAAGAGAGCACGCACGAGCCACGATGGAGGAAAGAGAAAAGCTCAGTTCATGTAAGACGACATCGACAATGACATTTCACATTTTTGAGCTGATGCATCGTTTGTTTGCACTCGCATGACTTCACGATTGTTCGGTTCGTTACTTGGAAACAATTGACGTTGGCGAAAGTAAGACGATCTCATTGAAAAAATTTGACTTGATGGATTTCTAATTGTGTTTGCTGTGCTAACCTGAGAAACAATCACTGAGTTTGACTGTGTAAGTGAGGCCCGCGGCGTCCATTTTGTCTTCCGTTCAACAAACAAAAACCAGGGATCAGTTCTTTGAAGGTTTTCGAGCGTGTTCAAAGTGCTCGGCGGGCTTGAGCAAACTAAAATGAAAAGACCTTTATTTTGTTTTTAAGTGCCGCTGAGCAAACGTCATCCGCGGTGGCCTATTTTGGCAAAATGAAATCGGTTGACAAGCTGACAATTCAAGTGGGATTACGGGGAAACGTTGGCCTGCGAGTCGGATTGCAGTTTTCTCAATCGCTTTCAAAATCGCGTTTTTGCAATCTTTGAGGGGAAAGGTCATGTTGGCTATAATTTCTCAAAATGAATATAACGACACCCACTGCAATAGTCAAAACTGCAAGTAGTGATGAATGGGCCCCCACGCAACCCCTTTTTCAAGGCAAATCCTGAAAAATGATTCAACATGAAGAGACAATGCGCTTGCCTGATCTTTCTGACGTAGGGACGAAGGGAAAAAAAAAAACCTTTGCAATTTAGCATTTCCCATCTGTCGGGCATACCAGCTTCTGTTTAGAGCTCAAAGTCCCTCTTATAGGTTTGAATTAGCCCCCAAATGGCGGTTTTAAACCAAAATGGATAAGTTCCTGTCCATGACATTTTATCGTCTGTCCTATTTTGACAGCCATGTCCTCTCAATTTTATATGACGCAGTGAAACTTGACTTTTGGATGGCTGTTGTTCCCATCAAATACATTTTCACCAGGAGAGTGGCCCTTGCAAAAAAAAAAAAAAAGTTTTCAGGCATGTTGTTGAAGATCCTAAAAATTAATTTGTCACACGAATAAGAAAGCTACCTTATTTCCTCAAATAGTGGCGGCACTTGCCAACTGTACTAGATTAAAACATCTAATAGGGCTGGCCAAATAAAGAGAAAAAAAAAAACAAGAATCACGATTATTTTGATTGACATGGGTTTACTAAAATGACTATTTGTTGATTTTTTTTTTTAACCTAATATTTATTCAACTACCAAAACTCAACAACCCCAAACGACCATACCACATACAATCCAAATGGGACTAAAACAGACACACTGGTGGTGGAGAGGAAGGAACCACTACACGCACACACACACACACACACACACAAAAAACAGCGATAACGTCACTCCAAAACACACCAGAGCCCATGCTTACACGTGACTTGACTTGATAAAAAGCCGCGCTGTCATTTTACACATATCTAAGTATGGGCTGGAAAAAGAGAGTGGAGAGAGTGGTGGGGCGCGTGGGGAGACTTACATCCTGCATCTGAGCATTGAAGAGTGCGCATGAGGACAACTGAAAAGACTGTATCATAACCTGGGCCACTGCCTGCGGAGGAGAGCACACGGCGCACACTCGCCCTCGTCAGCGACAAGGAGCAGGCTGACCATCTCTCTCTCACACACACACACACACACACACACACACACACACACACACACACACACACACACACACACACACACACTCATTGTGGAAGGGGCGCTCTCATTCTCCCCATTTTGGGAATATCGTTGCAATTGCAGCACGCAGCGCAGCGGTGAAGAAATGTTAGTCCATATCATTTATTAATGCTCTGCTTGTCTTGTCATGCTTTTTCATAGTAGGGCGCACAACTTCAATCCAGCTTGCAAAAAAAAAAAAAAAACCAACAAAAAAAAAAAAAGGAGTTCTGTTAACAAGATCCATGCTTCTAGTCAACCGAGGGTTATTTCTTCATCAATTTTTGGAAAAGGAAAAGCTTAGCAGACGTTCAACAACTGTCTGAAGTCAGTCGCTTCATTGCTTCCCAATGACCAGCAAGACCGCGTTGGTTAAAATGAGATCAAACCATCGCGATGCTCTTGGAAAGGAGTCAAGGCACAGGCTAAACTGCTGATGTGTAAAATCTTCAGGATCAACTATGTGAGTGAGATTTTTTTTTTTTGTTGTAATGACCAGACAAAAAGGTACCAGTGATGACAAGAGGAAACGTGCAATGATAACCATCCAACTGAAAAGCAACTTAACGGCGATCAAAGTTAAGGGTGAGTACACCTTGGGCCCTTTTTTTTTTTTTAAACGAGTTAAGAATTAAATGTGCAATGTATGACGTTGACTTCAGTTTCCCCGACGTATATTACATGCCTTCAAAGGGTGAATGTTTAATTTTTGTGTGAGTCCAAGTGTTACGAATGGCCTTCGCAACCTACACAACTTTTTTGTTGTTCATCTCCCTGGCGTAGTGCTGACATATTGAACTTAATAACTGACCCGTGTCCGTCTAAGTGGCTCAAACGGCCTCACAAAGTCATTTCGATGCAAGAAAAAGAATTCCAGCAGCGTGGTGGCATTGAGTGTAGACTTTCAAGTCGAGACCGAGTCGGGAGAAGAAGGGGAAAGATGTTGGGGAGAGAAGACATCGGTACAAGTTCGGATTTTACCTCGGCCGTCTTAAGAAGCGTGAGGTCCTCCTTTAAGCGCTTCATGAGCTCTTTTCGCTTATGTTTAGGTGACTGCCCAACTTCCTGCATGGCCTAGAAAGTATTGTACTTGTCCAGAAACTGCTTGTTGATTTCAAGTTGACAGACGGAAAAAAAAAAAAAATTCTAAGAGGGTTGTCCCTCAAGAGTAGAAGACATGCAAAGGATCAGCGATAACATCCCGCCACCGCATTTCACCTCACCCGTCGAGATTGGTTACTCTACAGCCATAAGTGTTATTGCGTCATATCAAATGAAAACAAAAAAAGCCAAGCCACTAAGCTGGAATCATCACACGGAAGCTCACAACGCTGACTGAAAATGAAAAGAATCGATTCAAGATAAGCCCGCCGTCTTCAGTTGCTCCTTATTCCCGTGTGATCACCCCCCCACCAAAGAGAAAAAAAGTGCCACCAAATTAAAATCACCCATCCCATGACCAAAGCCACCTCACACACTCATTCCAAAAACATGGTTAGGTCAATATAGTACAGTTCAAGATTACATCAACAAAAAAACACTGTTGATAAGGCATAATAGTCTACAGTATAATATTGCGGCGGCAAGCAGGAGCAAACAACCGCAACAAAGCCACGGCAAATAGCACCATCGCCACGGCAACGCAAAGCACAATGCCGGAATAAAACAGCCGAAAGCCACAGTGCGCCGATGATGACGAGGAGGAGGATGAAGATGTCGTGCACGCCTCACCTGGATTGAACTTGCTCTTTCAACTGCTCTTGGGGGGGGAAATGAATAATGGATAGAAAAACATGCCGCGGCTAACAGCTGTATAGCAACATGCGCCGGTCATGCCGCAGCGCTCCCACAGGCTCGAAATGACTCAGCCCAAGCTAAGAAGCCGCCATGCACCATTCCAAGGCTCGCATTCACGACAGGCGCGAGTCAGCCAGTCAAGCGGGGCTTGCGCGTACCTCTTTCTTCTTGTTCTTCAGCATGTTCTGGAACTTGGACAGCTCTTTGTCCTGATCCCCTTTAATGCGTTTGGCTTCATCGCGCAGCCGGCTGGTGTGATCCTGCTCCAGGCGCTCGATGGTCTGCTTCTGCTTCTTCTCCAGGCCCTCCACTTCCTGGTCGTATTGGCGCTTCTTCGCCTGAATACGGGCGGATCGAGATGCAGTGACTCAGGCAATATCGCGAGGACCAGTTGTCATTGTGAATAGATAGCACATGGTACTTGGATTATTCTTTCTGTGACCGAGCTAGCAACCCCATGACATTTACTCATATTGTTGCTGAGAAAAAAAAAAAAAAAAACCCTCACAATTAATTTACCAAACACTCATAGTTGGTGAAATATACTGGGCAACACGCCACCCCAACATTATATTTAATCGCTAATTTCATTTTTTGCTTTCATAATTTCAATTGAAAACCAACACAAAAAGTAAAGACTGTCTACCTTCCCAAACTCGAGCCACGAGTGATGCGATCAATTAACAATGAGCTGACTGCGCAGTGTCTGCGGTAGAAATGAATCTTACCTTTGTGGCTGACTACACTCATCTAAAAAAACAAACAAACAAACAAACAAAAAAAAAAACAATCCCACATCCTGATTTGCAATCTTGAGCCAGTTAGATGCAGCACGACTCCCGGAGTGAGGGAGGAGACGGAATTTCACTTCTCAATCAGTTCAAGCGTGTTAATAGATTTGTTCACCAACACTTTAACCGGGTTAATTATGTGTAAAAATAGTAGCCGACATCAGGACAGACCAACAGCATCGTTTGTGAACAAATATTAAATCAACCAAATTTGTATATATAAGGGCCCAACACTGATGATATATCAATTCATTTGATTGAAATCAATTGCCATTCCAGCTCTTCATTAAAAAAAAAAAAAAGTTACAGGTTTAAAAATAGCACTGCACTGAATAAAAACAATGAAAAGATAATAAAAGGCCATTGAAAGAAGGAAACTTTTTCTCTCGTGTAAATACTGCGCAGATTTTTCCAAGGCTTTTTCTTTTGCGGTATCTTTCCAGTGATGGTGGAGATAAATATGACGACAACCACAGAACCGGATATGGAACTTATTGCGACGTAGCCGCAAGTGCAGCTCCGGAAGTGCTCGGCACCAAAAGTCAACAGTGAATTGAAAATAATACAACAAAATGGACGGCACACTGTCAAGTCGGGGGCATTGATGGGAGGTGGCTTATTCTTTGCAACATTTATGGTAGATGTTTTCAATGTTGGTCAAGGTTTTTTTTTTTTTAAACATTTGTATGACAGTAAAGAATGTTTGATTTATGATTTAAACAGTGTGTTTGAATATAAAAGCAGTGTGGCAAAACTTTTCATGTAGGTCCCTCCATTTGATGAAACTCAACTATGAAACAAAGCATCTCACTTGGCAGAGGTTGGCCGCATTGCGGGAGGAGGGCGGCGGTGGGGGGACAAACGGTTGTGGCGGAAGTGACTCACTGTCGTTTCCTGTTCAAAACGCCGCAATATCTGCTCTCTCTGCTGCTGCAGCTTGTTGCCGAGCTCCTGCTGAGCTCTCTGCTCCTCCTTCTGCAGCAGGCGCAGCTCTCGCAGCTCCTGCCGCCTGAGGAAACCGCAGCATGCGGACATGTCGTCAGAGGGCCGCAAAGTCAACTCTCGAAAAACTACTCGACCGTTAGCGGAAACGTTGAAGTCCATCAGTCACCCGCTGTTCACGTACTGGTGTCATCATGCGGGGCTCGACGCTAACTTTTGCTACGTCAAGCAGCGGCCGACAACTTGAAACATCAGTAAAAAAATAGCTGACGGCTAAACAACTTAGATCGATCTGAATTGGAAGAGGCCCTTTATAAAGCAAATAGCTCATTTGGTTAGACGGCCATGAATTTGCCAAAGTACACATCCCGACTTGGTTATTCATTTATTTAATTTGTTCAGGAAGTCTTCTGCGTGGCAGAGTTGGAGCGCCTTTGCCGTTTGTACCGGTCGGAGGCACTCGCGCTGTGCGACCAGATGCAATTTTTAAGGGGCGGTCATCGAAAAAAAAAAAATCGGGAGCATTTGTGAGCAAAATGGTCACATTTTCGAGCCCTGTCATGGTGTATGTAGTAATAAAGTGTTGCATAAACCCATCTGGAGTACGTGAACTATTTCAAGGCATGCATGCTAAATAGGTCGCGTTCCTTATTTAGGATCGTCAGTCTAGCGGCGGGGATTAGTGTCAGGCACATACCTGAGGAACCTCATCTCCTCATTCTTGGCGTCGTCGTCGGTCACGATCTTCGATGTGGTCACGCTGACCTCCACGCCGTCCACCATGAACTTGCGCGTCTTTTTCAGTGTCTTCTTCTGCCGTTTGGACTCCTGTGAAGTAAAAAAACATTTTCACGCTGTTAAGTAGCAGCACGGTGCTGCCTCGCAGAAGGAGGAAAATTTGAGTTTGAATCTCTGGTCGGCGCTATTATTTTTGTGTTGATTTTTTTTTTTCCTGTTCTGCCTGTGCTTGCACTGGTTTCCTCGGGGTAATTTAACTTCTTTGCATGATCCAAAATCTATATTTGGGTTAGCTGAAGACTCTCGGACAATTAGGTGTACAGTATATGTGAGTGAGTCTTTTGTGATCGGCTCTCTTCTTGCCCTAAATCAGCTGTAAATAGCCTCCAGGTCCCCCCTGATTCTGAACAGGATAAGCAGTATAGAAAATGGATGGATGATTATTAAGTGCTTATAATTGACGAGTGGTGTACAAAATAAAAAAAAAAAAAAGATAAAGCTACCTGGATAGACACTGAGCCTCCTTTGCTTTTGGATAAAAAGCTGGAGATGGACAGATTGAGGTCCATGCTGCTGCTGTCGGCGGCCGAGCTGCTTCCGGAGTCCGAGTCCTTCTCCGCATCCTGCCGCCTCCCGGCAGGACTTTCTTGCTCCGTCTTGATCTCTGAGTCGGGTTCACGAGGGCTCGTGATCTCTTCTGCCAACGTTGCTTCTTTGTCATCCTTGCTCGGGAGCCCTGCCTGTTCAGATGTGTTGGTCGCGTCATCGCAGATTCCATTTGAAGGTCGGATCTTGGCGATGGTCTCAAAGTCTTGATCTGGGAGCTCAGAAATTTTCCCCTCGGGCTTTTTTAGAATAGACTCATCCTTACTCATTTGAGTTTCGGCGTCTCCCACTATGCGTGCCGCTAAATCACCTCCGTCTTCAATGATAACATCGGTGTCATGAGCCCTATCGGTCAGTTCGTGCTGAAGCATGTCATCCGGCTTGCTCACTTGTTCGACCTGCAGCTCTGATACAGACTCCGGTTTGGCATGCGCATCCTCAAGTGCCTCGTCTGATTCTGCAGATCCGACAATCTGCTGATTCGACTCATCTTCTTTGGTCACCTCTTCGGGCTCTTTTTCAATTTCTATTATTTGTGGAGACTCATTTATTTTTCCTTCCCGTGTCTCCGCTCCTTCCGCTGTCTGCGCTTCATCTAGAACGTGTTCCTCCAAAGCAGTTGGCTCAGCAGGAATCTCATCAGCTCGCCCCTCAGGCTCCGGCGGCTCCGGTGGGACGGACTCTTCCATCAGCCCGAAAGCCGTGTCTTCATTAGCGCCCTCGGGCACCTCGTTGAGTTTCTCCTCCTCCGTCTTGTCAGGCTCGCTTGTTCCAAGACCTTCATCGGAGAGTATATCACTGGACCCGTCTTCAGCCGGCTCAGCTTCCGTCTTTTCAGTGACGGACTGCAGTGCGGATGGTGTCGGTGGAAGTTTGTCTTCCTCGGAGCTTGCCATACTCGCGTCGGACGGTGTTCGCTTGTGTCCAGGAGCGGCCTGAATGAAAAAAAAAAAACACACACAAAACATTAAAATCTATCACTGTCGAGTCATGCAAACCGTTAGCAGTTAGTACCACGGGCGTCTCAGGTTCTTCCTCCTCTTCCTCTTCTTTGCTGTCTTCGATCTCCTCTGTGACTTCAGCCTTGGCTTCAGCGATGAGCTCTCGCAGAGGTTTGCTGTCTACAACAGTGGCGACAAATGGATGCTGCCAGGATGGAGGCAGAGACACAAGGAATGTAATTACAAAGCCGTTTAGCTGACCCGTGAGCGGATCCGCCCACCGCTATCAGCTAAATAGAAGTACAGGGATAACGGCATGCTGAAAGCCGTGACCCAAGAAGGGCGGCTCACTTGTAGAAGCTGCAGCGGCCCCCATCGGTTGTCCACATTCTTGTCAAGCGCCCTGCGGAGGAAGTCGTTGAATTCTGGTGTCCTGCAATACAGTTCGGGAGGACATTAAAAAAAGTTTTGCTTTTAAGGTTTTTTTTTTCTGTTTTTCTGAGTATTTTTCTGTGTAATAAGTGGTATATTTTTCATTTTTTTGTAATTCTTTTTCTGCTTTTTGTCATTTTGTTCGCTGGATATTTTCCCCTATTTTTCTGAATAATTTATTCTATCAATTTTTCCCCTCCAAAATATTCAGAATGACAGAAAATATTCTGCAAAACTGAGAAATATACAAAAAAAAGACAAAAATTTAAAAGACAGAAAAATATTTTAAAAAACAGAAACTGGAAAGAAAAGGAAAACATTTCAAAAATAAATTATTCCCCCCTAAAAAAACTCAGTGACAAATAGAAGCAAGCATGTTGGGCCTCTTATTTGGAAAAAAATGTGAGCAAGTCTTCCATTTTTGTTTCCTAAGAGTGATGTTATACGATAACAGGGAATACCTTTATAAGTCTAATATTATGTGTGGGGGTTACTTTATTTTTATAGATATATAATCTCTCAATATCAGATTTTCACCCATCATGGCTGGGCCTGGAACGCCACTGGTTTCACTGTACCGGGCTCCCCCGTGACACAGGCACACGATCTGTCAACACCGGCACGTCATCTCACCAGCGGGAGGGTTGCATGAGGGTGGGTGGCTCGGACTTGGCTATTTTCAGCAGCACTCTCATGGGGTTCATCTCATGATTGGGCGGCTCGATCTGCGCCAGCTCGATCAGGGTCACCCCGAGGGACCAGATGTCCGCCTTGTAGTCGTACGGGCGGTCCTTGGACGTCTCGCACATCACCACTTCTGGCGCCATCCTGCACAGTGATAAATGAGTGGCAATTCGAATTACCGTAATCAATAATATGAAACCAGATTATTGCTGGATTAATGGGCAAAACTGTAGTTCTAACCAAATAAAAAAGATTCAGGAGCATGGTATGATGATATGGAAATTCTTTTTATAGGGAAAATGACTTGGCACGTGTCTGGGAATTTAACACCAGCCTGTATTTCAAACCGATGTCATCCAACACTGACATTTACTCACGGTATTCCTTCAGCCTTTATTTTCCCACAACTTTAGCGATAGCGTGTTGATGTTGTCAAGCCGCTTCAACAATGATCAGACAGAAAAGGCCAAATACAAAAATACCCTTTTTGTATTTGGGCTCAGTGACTCACCAGTACGGCGTTCCGATGAAAGAATCTCTTCTCTGTAATGTCTTTGTATTTTTAGCAGAAACTCCAAAATCCGCTGAAAAGGAGGAAATGAATTCATGAATCTTTTCTCCATTCACTCAGCCACGGCGCAATGTCGAAGCCTTTGATTTTATCGGTGACTCAAGTGACATGTTTTGAAAATCCTTAACACAGTGGCTGTTAATCATCGAGAAGGGATGCTCAAAGCTTTATTCGTCACTTGATACTAGTTTTCCTCGCCTCACATGTAAACATTGCGAGGAAGCAAACGTATACCATTAAGCCCCTTGAGGCTGCTTGATAATTATTGCTTGCCAGACTCCACCATTTGCCACCGTGTGACTCATGCAGGAAGGGTGCAACAGGAAAAACATGAATACATTTGGAATATTATGCAAACAATCTGATGCACTGTAGGAGTTGCACAGAACAGAATAGTCGACTAGTCGATGTTACTACTCCAATGTTGAGAGCGTGAGGTCAGCTATTCTCGCATCACGTTTTTGACCTGCTAGAGGCATATAATAACAAAGGCATATAATAACAAAGCCTTCACTCCTCCTGTTATTGTTTAAAATTATAATGCTGTGCTGACAAAATATCTGACAACAGGTGACTAGTCGATGCCGACTCCACGCTCATTCACATCAGTGTCCGCTTGGAAATATCTGTAAGTCTTGCGACCCCTAATTATTGCCACCTTTTGAATGTAAATGTCAGTGGCTGCGACTTATTCTCTTTGAGGAAAGATAAAGCAGCGCATGAATGAGTCAATCCGCTTGTGTAAACACAAGCGCTCTGCAGCGTGCGTCTGTCAAAATCACAAGGCTCAGCTGGGTGCCGTGGCGTTGACGGGGAGTCCCAAAATTGACTTTACTAATTATCCCCTCAAGCCTTTAAGTGGCTCGGTAGGAGGCTACTAAGTGGCCACCCGGGACGCGAGGCGGAAAAGACAACAATTAATCTGCTTTTGTTCTCCGCCGCGGCATCTTAAGACTCGAGCTTTGCGGGAAGAGGAGCCGTCCTTTCCAGGATGAATAATCCTTCCCATTTGGTGACACATGCACACCCACCGCAAGGAACATTTACGGTGGAGTAGAGGCACACTGTGGAAAGGCTGTCGCAGGTCTGCCTCACAGTCAAGAGATCTGAGTTTGAATCTGTGTGGAGCTTGCATGTTCTGCGGCGCTTGCGTGGGTTTTCTTTTTGAACTCCGACTTCCTCCCACATCCCCCGAAACAAGCGTGTTAGGTTTACCGAAGGCTCTCAATTGTCCATAGGTTTGAATAACGGCATGAATAGTTGTCTATGGTTCATCTTTTGCCACCTTGCTGTGTCAATTCCATCCGCAAGATAGCAGATTTATGATTTACATTTTTATAAAGAAATTGCAGATTACCAAGTTTTACTTCTCCCTCCAGGGAAAGGAGAATGTTGCCAGCCTTCAGGTCTCTGTGGATGATCTTGTTCTCGTGCAGGTAGACCAAAGCCTCCAGGGTCTGCCTGCACACCACACGGATCTGAGGCTCAGTCAGCGGCCTCTCCAGTTCTGCCAGAGAACGCGGATGGCCATCGGTGAGTCATTTTCTTCCACATTACGTTGTGGTTATGTTACGCCGTGCAGTTTGGCAAATGCGTAAGTCAACATCAGCTGAGATGGTAACCCACGGCAACGGGAGGGAACAAAACTCGCTTGTATGGGAGGAAAAGTTTAGTGCAGTCTTGAGTGGCGACACAATCGACGGCAGAAGGGTATTCATGGTTGTTTTCCATTCGGAAAAACTCATTCCCACAGAAGTAGAGATGCTTTTATTCAAGCTTCAAAATGAGAGGGTGAAACTATTGGCATTAGCACCACTCCTTGAAACCGGAGCTACAATAATTAGGCGGCGGCATGAAATGGCCTCTTTAACCGGAGGGAGGTAGGGCGCATTCTGGATGGACTAAAACGAGTTGAACAGAACTTCAGACTTACCCAGCATGATGGCGTCCACCGCGCCCCCCGCGCAGAACTCAATCAGGATCTGCACAGAGGAGAACAATCAAACGTCTTGTAGGACACGCTGAAAACGATGCCTTTTGAAATGAGGTCTTTATTACGCGATGGACAGAATGACCTTTGAAAGGAAAGACATCATCCATTAGACCTCGTTCCGAGGAGCCAATCAATCGGAAAGAATTATCAATGGACGTTTTAGAAGAATCGTTATATCATCTCTAACAGGGAGTTATTTGAATGCAACCGTTCCTCAAAGCGTAGCGAGGAAGTGTGCTGCGAATGAAACGCCTCGCATCTGACAGATTTCATCACGTACTTTGTTAAATCCCTCATCTAATTCCAGGAGCACTTTTTGTCAAGGGTGAGCCGGAGCCCCGGCTGACTTTGGGCAAGAGGCTGCAGTACAAATTGCCGACTTCCTCTTCTTGCAATTCAAAATGTCAGAGGCAACCGTTTCATCATTGATGAAACGGAAAGTAGAGAGCAACTCTGCTTTCGCTGAACATTATTACTTCTATCAGGGTAAAGAAAACACCTACTCGCAATGCTACTAAAATTTCGTCCCGTACACATGATGAAATGCACCCAACAGCCGGTGTGACTTTTGTGCTCTTGCCGGTCCATTATGGAAGCGTGTGTGTGGTGTCGGGTGATAGATAAAAATCAATACAACCTACTACGAAACACTGCTCTCCATTCAGGGATGGACACAAAGAGAGACAGCCAGGTGTTTGTTCTCATTCGACACGATAAGAGACTTCTGCTTGTAATCTACTTCCTTTCGAGCCTTACAGGCGTGAACATCGGCTAAACGGTTAAATCCCGCATGAACGTCAACTCACCATTACGCCCCCGACATATTGCGTAAGAATAACGTGTAGAACAGCACAAGCAAACGCACATGCGGCTACACATTCATCGAGCTGGTTAAAGACCGAGCCCGTCGGGACAACCTGCAGTGTAGCTTTGAATTATTTACGGGCACTTTCTCCGAGGTCCGAAAAGCGCTCCATTATCTCAGCGGTGGGATGTGGCCCGTGCTCCAGAGACGGGTCACATGACAACAAGCGCCACGACGTAATTGCCCAGGGGCCTCTCGGCCTGTGCCGCACAGCGTGAGATTCGCTGAGTGTGTACAAAAACGGCACAGGGACATTACTCAGCACTCGCTGCAACAAAAATTAGTTAAGTTCGCAAGTCTAACACAATTTGTTGAATTTAAAATAGGAGCTCCTGAAAGGTCGTTCTGTCAAACATGAACAGTCTGTACTAGCAATGATTTCAGCAATATTTTTACAATCTTAATTAGGGCTGAGTGCTTGATGAATTATAGATTCATTTGAGTTGATCGGGACCATTTATTCTTTTTTTTTTGCAGCAGCAGCATTTGTAGTTAAAACTGCATTCGCGGTGACACGCACTGCTTACAGTAGCGACATGGTTGCAAACAAACAGCACTTAACTTCACAAAAGCGGTCAGTGTTGCCAACTTAGGAGTCAGAGAGCTATACTGAGCAACTTTTTGATTCCTCTACTCACTATATTAATGGAAAAAAAAAAAGCAACTAGCTGGTTTAGCTGCAACAATAAAAAGTAAAGCGCAACCATTTTTCAAAAAAGGAGCCCGCCTATTTTGCTGCTAGGAAAAAAAAACAAAACAATTTCTTTCATGAAATCATAAAATGCTGCTTTAGGTATATGCTTAAGATTGCAGTGTTCAACACCCAGCATGCATATGACATGTTTTTCCAGTACGATGTGGCTCTTGTAAAAGTTATTATTAGACAATTAAGTTGGCACTAAATTGACATCTGAACACACACACACCTAAATAATCGACATGGCGGTGAACGCGTGATAATAAACTACTTGGCCTTCACCATTCAAACAGGAACTCTTTAAGTTGTCATAAAGATCACAACGAGATATAAGAAAGCTTTTCCATAGGTTGCTTCAAACTGATTAGCGCTGCCGTTAAAAGGATTTCAAAGACGCAATCAGAAACAGAACCTCCCACCCATTTTGCCCAGCAAGACTTATCTGTGCAGGAAAAGAAAGGCTGGGACTATTCTTTTTTTTTTTTTTTTTTTTTTTTTTGGGATACTCTCTGTGACTTCTGCTCTCACACTTTTGGCAGCTCCAGATTTCCTTTTCTTCCTCTGCAGGCGCTTATTGTTATGCTATAGTGGTACGGTGCTACAAAGCAGAAGCGAAGCATAATGGTGTCACATGATGTGTTTTTCACCACAAAAGGGAGGTCAAAGTGGAGAGGTGAAAAAAAAGTGTTTTAAAGGAGAGATATTCAATTGCAATGCCGAAGAGAGGAGAAGAGTGGTTTGTGCTAAATCGGCATGTGACTGCTTCCACCGTCTCCTCGGCTTTGCGTCAACAACAACAAACAAACAAACAACGCGTTACCTACCCAGAGTTTCCCCTCATAGTAGAAGGCGTCCAGCAGCTTGACAATGTGATGGTGGTCGCAGGAGGCCAGGATGTCAATTTCGACCATGTAGTCCTCCAGTTCGTCCTCCGTCTTTGTGTCGATGACTTTGGCGGCGGCGAGGGTCCCGTTCTGCTTGTTCTGAGCCTGAGGGCAACGATGCGGCTTTGTTAGGGGTTTGACACGAAAAGTCCCACAAAAACGACACCCGTGCAGTTATTTCTAGCTCGGCTACGCGGTGGTTATCGTGGCGAGACATCCTCAACAAAGAAGCCACATGAAAATAGTGCAATGGATTGCATTAGTGTTTGAGCGAGGCTGCAAGCAATCTCCCTCTCAGATGACATCTCCATCAGGAGACGTCATAAAGACTTCTTAATTACACGGGATGGATTTATACTGCAAGCCCAAGTGCCCAATTACGATTTAATGCCTATATCTGATCTGGGCCATTTCCAAGCACGTTTCGAGAGACACATATTCGATATGGATGTGTTTACGCTGATGAAATGTCCAATACGTAAATGAAATGATACAAAATGTTACACAGCACTGAGTTAGCTTGGGCTGACTCTTCCACCCCATTGATTCAAATGAGGGTAACCTCCATTTTTGATCCACATTTATTGTGTTTCTTGAACAATGGACATGCCTCTCACGTAGCAAGCATATCGTGCTGTCACCCGAACAGCATAAAGTGCTATAAAGTCTTTTTTTTTTTAAACTTGTTTTCTGAAACCAAGAAAATAAAAAACATGGCACATTCAAGAAACAAGATCTGCATGACTGACAGTAATTTGACAGTCTGTGTGTTTGCTGTAGTTTAGATTCAAATGATGTCAATCTCGTATTTATCTATCCGAATCCGATTTTCATCTACATCTGGAAGAAGCCTGATTCTGATCAGCGTCTAAAGTTATCCCGTTCCACAAGTTTGGATCTCTTTATGCTGCTTTGACCCCTGAACCGAATTGTGCCGCTCGAGTGCAAAAAAAAATCTGAATTGCGACACTTGAGCCACGCAGTGTGAATCTAGCCATGGGTGTGGCAATTGCTGCTGCAGAAATGACCCGCAGAGTCAACGCGTCAAAACTGTTGTCAGCAAAGCTTATCATCTGACCTACTCTCAACGAACTTGGCTCACTTCCTCACGCTGCTTTTTCCTACCATCGTCCTGTCCCCCACCCCCACATCACTTTAGACAGGCGTGACATTTGGGATTTGGGCTGGGATTTTTGTACACGTCTAGGGAAAAAGTCCAAATCAATTGCAACTCATTGAGTACAAAAACAGTAGCAGGGGAGTTGTTTTAAGGCTGGCTTAAAGTCCTGATGCACTCAGACCCAACATTGGAGAGTAAAAGGAAAAAACGAGGAGGGAGGGAGTGTTCGGATTGGAACAACTGATCCAATGTTTACGGAGTGCCAACCTGACACACGCCCCGTCCCTTTCCGTCAGCACGGCCTGACGTCAGTGTCAATTTTTGTCTCTCGTGTTTCATGCAAAGTGAATCGCACCAATGTGAATGACATGCGCTGTCCGTGACGTGTGCTGCATGTCCAATTCAAAGCCCTTCACGCGTGATGCACGAGAGTTGAGGTCTTTGGGAAAACTTTGGCATTCGGTTCGGGGTTTATTAGATTCTTTGTTAATGAAGTTGCCAATATGAAAGAAGAACATCAACAATTCATTACAAAGCGGTAAACAATGAAAATGCCGGTTGGCTAACGCGGAAAATAAGTTACTGAGATATTATGGATTGAAAGTTTGTCAGTGTATCATTTAGTATTGCATTCTAATATTGCCATTATTGTGCTATTCCTATCCCGACAATACGTGAAGTATTGTCGGGATAGGAATAGACATTAATATTTGGTCCAGAGTGTCTCCAGGTACAAATAGATCAACTTCAGTTTGGATAGAGCCCTGTGACAGACTCCTGGCTTTCATCGCAGCAATTTACTCAGCTAATAAGGAACTGCAAACTGGCAAATGGACATCCATGGACAATTAGCTGTATTATTTAATCACGAGAGTTGCAGGAAGGAACTCCTGCGTTGACGCCGAAATGGCCGCAAGGGAGAAAGCCCTCGACATCAGACTACAATAACGCAATAAATAATAAGAGACGAATGATAAGTTGCCTTTTCACTGATGCTTCAGTGGTTAATTCGCTAACTTCCATGCAGGGAATGCGGCTTCAGTGTACGGCTGAAACTATTAATTGGAATAACTCGTTTCATTCGATTACACGAAAAAGTTAAAATCACAGCAATAACACATTTCTTTTTTTCCCAAAAGAAAGGATTATACACTGTTGCATGTTCACAGGATTTTACGGTAGCTAATGTAACACAACAGCACACTCACTAGTGCACTTCAATCACTTTATTGAACAAACTGGAATAATAATAACAATCATAAAAATAACATACATGACCACAACTGATGGCCAGGGACTTGCCCGACACACTAACCCGATTCGACAAGTCACTATCCACTCTCATTTGCTGACTCCCATGTCACTCACCAGGCCCCCACCTTTTAAAGCCACACGCATTCAAAGTCACAAATATTACAGTGTGCAACTTGAGCACAGTGACCCCCGAGTGAAAAATAATTGCACTTCACGTTTTGTTACTTAGTAATAAATTAGTATCACTCAATGAATCTATAATAATAACAATCATTTGAACAATCAGATTGAAAATATTTGATCACGATAGCCCCATTGAGAAACACTGAACATGAGTGTGAGTGACTTTGTTTGTGCTTTGCAACACACTGGCGTGGTGGGTCACCAACCCCGGTCCTCAAGGGCCCCTATTCTTGCATATTTTGTATGTTCCCTCCTCCAACACATCTGCTTCAAATGATTAGCTCATCAGCAAGCTCTGCACAAGCCTCATAATAATCGTGATCTTTTGAATCGGGTGTGTTGGAAGAGGGAAACATAAAGGATGGAGGATAGGGGCCCTCCAGGACCAGAGTTGGTGACCCCTGGTCTAAATGAAGCTCCCGAGTCACTTCTAGATCGTTTCCTTGGCACAAAAATGCCACCAAATGCTTGTTTTCCACTGAATATTTACCTGTACTCAAGGAATAATTTGGAGGACTACGTTTTAATGTTGTTACTCGAGTCTTACAATTCTTAAGTCACGTTACTCTTACTCGAGTACAATTTTTTTGACTACTCGGCTAGGACGTCGTCATGGCTGCTGTCATTTTCACGTGTTCTCACTTGACAAGGGTGCGACAGAACAGAACCACAATGGAGTCGCCATGGAGGACGGTTACCTAATAACGTGTCGCAAAGGTGTACGAACAAAATTACCTTGTAGACTTTTCCGAAGGCTCCATCGCCGAGTTCCCCGATTATGTCCCAAATCTCCTCGGGGTTGACGTCTCGGTGGACGTGCTCGTACTGCTTCTTCTTCCTGTCGGGCCCTAGCTTGAAGATCTTTCGAAAATTGAAAAAGGACATTTTTCTGGGTAGGAGGAGAGCGGGTGTT